GGGAAGGTGGCTCAGTGGTAGAGTGCTTGCCTTGCATGCATGAGGCCCTGGGTTCGATTCCTCAGCACCACATAAGCAGAAAAAGCCGGAAGTGGAGGTGTGGCTCAAGTGGTAGAGTGCTAGCCTTGAAGTAAAGAGCTGAGGGACTGTGCCCAGGCCCAGAGTTCAGACCCCATGACTGACCAAAAAAAAAAAAAAAACAAAAGAATAATAATAAAAAGAATAATAAATAGTAGAGATATATTATACAGCATGGATGAACCTTGAAACATTATTCTATTTTAGCTGAAATATGCCAGACATAAAAGGCCGTAAGAGGACATGTTATGCCAGACATAAAAGGACATTCCTTTTCTGTAATGTCCAGGATAGGAAACTCAACAGAAAGAGAAGAGAGATTAGCAGTTGGCTATAATTAGGAGTACTTGGGAGTAAGTAACTACTAGCAGATATATTTTGAGGAACTGGAAATGTCCTTGAATTACACAGTAGTAATGGTCGCATAACACTGTAACTCTACTAGAGTCAGGCTGTTCTAATTGTTAAGATGAAACTAGTTTGATCAAAATTAAGTTACACCTATCTTCTAAGGAAATGCAGAGGGCAAAAAAAAACATTTCATTTCCTATGGTAAGAAACTCTTTCATTAAAGCCAAGCAACCAAATAAAGAAAAAAGTATAATCTTGACAGAGAGCTGAAATACCTGTATACCTAGATACTTGCTACCTTTTCTATCTCTACCTCTTGCTACCTTCCAGTATTCTAAGTCACTGGACAGTTACAGATCCTCCCAGCACTATACCCAAATTGAACAGTCTATATCTATTCTCAGACATTGACATATTATTAAAAGAAACTACCATTTGACCATATAAGACAATAAGAATGTTTTTGACTATGAACTCAATTTTAGATACAAAAAGCTTCCAACTTCATAAAACTAGGAGAAAGCATAATTCAAATAAAGTTTCTATTATTAATAAGGCTGAATTCTAACCATTTTTAATTCTATTATTAATAAGGCTGAATTCTAACCATTTTTATTTCATTCATCATTTATATAAGTAAAAAAAAATCTAGATGGACTTCCCATCATTGTTATGAAACAAAAAAAATAGAAGAGAGAGAGAGAACAATGACAAAAAATGTTAAACAAATTCAAGTTTTACCTTGCAAGCTCCTTTGGCTTGAACTTCCACCATGTGTCTGGTTCCCGGAAAAGGACTTTATATTTATGCTTCTGAGACTACATATAAAAAAGACATTAAAACAAACATTTTGAATATTTTGTGAAACTGAACATATTATTCCTAAATTCATAGCATGTTAAAAATGAAAGAACCAAGGTGAATTCCATGGCTCATACCTACAATCCTAGCTACTTAAGAAGCTGAGATCTGAGGATCATGGTTCAAAGCTAACACAGATGACTCTTATCTCCAACTAACCAGCAAAAAGAGTAGCTGTGGCTCAAATGGTAAAGCACCAGCCTTGAACAAAAAAGCTCAGACAGTGCCCACATCCTGAGTTCGAGCCTCAGGACCAGCACGTGCATGCGTGCGCGCGCACGCACACACACACACATCCAAAAATACCTCAAAAATTCAAAGATGACTCAAAGATTCTCTCATGGATATGTTAAACTGATAAAAATCTTTTTGATGGGGGCTGGGAAGATGGCTCAGTGGTAGAGTGCTTGCCTTGCATGCCTGAGGCCCTGGGTTCGATTCCTCAGCACCACATAAGCAAAAAAAAGAAAAAAAGCTGGAGGTGGCGCTGTGGCTCAAGTGGTAGAGCACTAGCCTTGAGCTGAAGAGCTGAGGGACAGCGCGCAGGCCCAGAGTTCAGGCCCCACTACTGGACCAAAAAAAAAAAAAAATCTTTTTGATACAGCAATTTATTTCCAGAAATGTAACACTGAAAATACTAATATGATGAGTTGGGAAGGTGGCTCAGTGGTAGAGCACTTGCCTTGCATGCATGAGGCTCTGGGTTCAATTCCTCAGCACCACTTAAGTAGAAAAAGCTGGAAGTGGCACTGTGGCTCAAGTGGTAGAGTGCTAGCCTTGAGCTGAAGAGCTGAGGGACTGTGTCCAGGCCCAGAGTTCAGGCCCCATGACAGCCCACCCCCCAAAAAAATAAAATATTAATATGAAAACAAAAAAGGATAGATAAATCCACACATACACTACACAAATATACACATACCTGCTAAGATACACAGTTTGCTACTATTTGAAATAGCAAAAGAATACAAATAGACTCTGATAGAAGGTGAAAGTACCAGAAGAAGGGAAGAAGGCTAAAAAATAGGATGAATGAGGAAGAATACATATGAGGAATATTCACTTGCATGAAAGCTGAACAATGAAACCTATTAAAATTGTTTCAAAAGCCAGGTGCTGGTGGCTCACGCCTATAATCCTAGCTACTCAGGAGAATGAGATCTAAGGATCACAGTTCAAAGCCAGCCCGGGCAGGAAAGTCTGTGAGACTCTTATCCCCAATTTACTACCAGAAAACTGGAAGTGGTGCAGTGGCTTAAGGTGGTAGAGCACTAGCCTTGAGTTGAAGAGCTCAGGGACAGTGCCCAGGCCCTGAATCCAAGCCCCAAAACTGACAAAAACAAAAAATCAAAAAATCCTGTTTCAAGAAGCAAGAGTAGATCAAAAGTATATGGTACACATGTATAGAAATAACATGACAGTTATGTATTTTCTTAGATTCTGAAGAAAAATTTGTTTAGGAATATGTACTTTTAAAGCAAAGGAATAAGTTTTGGCATTTGTCACTAAAAATATTTGACTGCTACCTTTTGAATCTCAGCTTTCTATTTTGTAAATAACATGCAGAAATAGATTACAATGTCTTCTTTATTCTGCTTCCTGACAGCTCTTACTATCTTGCTTCCTAAAGAAAGGGGAAGTGATATGCCTTTTCTATAGTAACTGCTGTATCTATATTTTTTTGGGGGGGTCCGGTCATGGGGCCTGGGCCTGGGTGCTGTCCCTCAGCTCTTCAGCTAGTGCTCTACCACTTGAGCCACAGCACCACTTCTGGCTTTTTTCTTTTTGCTTATGTGGTGCTGAGGAATCGAACCCAGGGCCTCATGCATGCAAGGCAAGCACTCTACCACTGAGCCACCTTCCCAGCCCCTGTATCTACATTTTTATCCTGCAACCTAGGTCCAGTGCTAGCCAAGTGTTCTACCACTGAATCACACCAGCCTATACCTACTTTCTCATACATAAAAAAGGAGCTTGGCACTCTAGATTTGCAAAAGTCCTTCTCATTTAGGAAGACCAAGCAAACAATACTGGAAAGTTTGACATTTTTTAATTATCATGTAAAAAAATAAAAAAGAGAAAAACACACAAGCCAACATGCTCAATGAACATCAGAAACACAATAAGCAGAAGACTTCTAAAGGTGAAAACACATTTCTTCAAAATGATACAAGGGCCCAGCACTGGCAGCTCACATTTGTAATCCTAGCTACTCACAGGAGGCTGAGATCTGAGGATTGAGGTTCAAAGCCAGCCCAGACAGGAAAGTCCCCGTGAGATTCTTATCTCCAGAAAACCAGAAGTAACACTGTGACTCAAAGTGACAGAGTGCTAGCCTTGAGCAAAATAACTCAGGGACAGCACCTGGGCCTCATGACTGACCAAAAAAAAAAAAGATACAAGGGCAGAAGATATCACAAAGGCAGTTTGGATGTGTTCAGGACATACAAAAGGCATTAGAACAATCACTACAGAAGCCTAAATTGCATCTCTATGTGTTAATGATGGAATAATAATTTTAAAATACTCCAGTTAAAAAAGCTTCATGGAAACAGCGCCCAGGCCCAGAATTCAAGCCCCACGACCAACCAAAAAAAAAAAAAAAAAAAAAGCTTCATGGAAGTGGTGTTATGGCTCAGATGATAGAGCTATAGCTTTGAGCTTTGAGCACAAAGAGGCCCAGAGACAATGCACAGACCAGCAAAAAAACAAAACAAAACAAAAAACTTCATTTGGGCTGGGTATATGGTTTAGTGATAAGAGTGCTTGCCTAGCATGCATAAAGCCCTGGGTTCAATTCCTCAGTACCATATAAACAAAGAAAGCCAGAAATGGTGCTGTGGCTCAAGTGGTAGAGTGCTAGCCTTGAGCAGAAAAAAAGAAGCTCAAGTACAGTGCCCAGGCCCTGAGTTCAAGCAAAAAGAGACAAAAAAAAAAGCTTCATTTATCAATTTACATACAGTACATAAATGTGTATGTCATTTCATAATTATTTAAATTATTATATATCTAACATAGTGCTATACCCTTAAGATTCAATGATAGGTAAAACAATAGTGCTACTAGAAATCAGTATATGTTCAGCCTGGGAACTAATCATTTCTGTGTCCCTTAAAGGGAAGAAAAAAGGGGCAGAGAGGGAAGGCTTGATCCATGACCTACTGATAAAAACTGTGTGCTTCAGTCTATGACAGAATTAAGCCAGGATTCTATGGGGGGCAAGGGGGAGAATACCTAACGCTGCTTTTAATAAACTAGTGATAGCTAACTTCAAAGGTGATATCATTTTTGCTGAGCAAAAAAGAGATACCCCAAAGAGGAAAATAATAGTGACTATATTTAAGGCAAAGGAAAAAGAGATAAATATTAAGAGGAAAGAAATTTGGCAATTGAAGATAGTTTAGTTTATGAATTCTGAATTTCTTAGCACAACAAAAATTTTAAAAAATAAATATGTCTAACATGAGCCACCAAATTTTGATTCTACCATGTAAAAGCAATCTTATTTGGCAGAATCACATGCACACACAAACACACACACACACACACAAAATAATACCTTTTATGAAAAATAACAAAAGGCAAAATCAATCTCAGAATGTATCCTTTGAATCTCAGAATTTAAACCTAACTAAATTCAGCTTTATGGAAAAATTCATGATCATACTAATAATTCTATTTTTCTCATTTCAATCTAAACAGAAAAAGCACAGAGACAGAGCAAGAATCAAGAGACTCTCAAGTGCTTAAGATTCACATGTTATCAACATCCCCCACAACTCCAATGCCACTATCAGAAACTTATGACAACTCTTAATACAAACCAAAGCAACATATGGCTTCATTTCCCATGCCTGAAGGTTTGTATTATCTATTATTATTGGAGATACTTTCTTCTCAAATGCTTCCTTTGCTAAAAAAAAAAAAACACAACAGAAAATAAGTCATTTTTAATGATAAGGATTATCTTAATAACCATTTCTTAATAACATTAAGTGCTATCTTGTTTTTGTAATTTGAAAGTCACTGACATGAACTAGTTTTACTCACTATGTGACTAGGAAATATCACTTTTTGTGTATTCTAGTCCTGGGCTTGAACTCAGGGCCTAGGTGCTATCTCTAGCTTTTGTGCTCAAGGCTAGCACTCTACCACTTGAGCCACAGCTCTACTTTTCTGGCTTTCTGGAAATAACAATCTCATGGAACTGTGATCCTCAGAGCTCAGCCTGCTGAGTAGTTAGGATTAAAGACATGCGCCACCAGTGACTGGTGGAAATACCACATCTGAAGAAATAACTATTTGGGGCTGAGAAGGTGGCTCAGTGGTAGAGCGCTTGCCTTGCATGCCTGAGGCCCTGGGTTTGATTCCTCAGCACCACATAAGCAAAAAGCCGGAAGTGGTGCTGTGGCTCAAGTGGTAGAGCACTAGCCTTGAGCTGAAGAGCTGAGGGACAGTGCCCAGGCCCAGAGTTCAGGCCCCACGACCGGACCCAAAAAAAAAAAAATTAAAAATATATATTTATATATATATATATATATATTTTTTTTTTTTTTTTTTTGTGGGGCCTGAATTCAGGGCCTCAGTGTTTCTGAGCTCTTTCTCAAGGCTACTGCTCTAGCACTTTAGGCCACAGCTTCACTTATGGTTTTCTGAGTGGTTAATTGGAGATAAGAGTCTCTCGGCCTTTCCTATCCAGCCTGGCTTCAAACCATGATCCTCAAATCTCAGCCTCCTGAGTAGCTGGGATTACAGGTGTAAGCCTCTAGTGCCTGGCTAAAAAAGGAATTATTTAAATCTTTTAACTGCCATATGAAATAAAACCTCATTTAACTCATAACATTATAATTAATGTTATACATTATAGTTATTTCATATGTATGATATAGTCCTAGGACTAAGGAAATCATAAATTCATGAAGTTATATGTCTCTCAAAATATAAATAAGCAAAATTTATTTCTACACTACTGTTCCCCAAATCACATCTATTCTTACCATAGTTCTTCACTACTGTTCCACAAATCACATCTATTCTTACCACGGTTCTGGTTCCATTCATGTGCCTCTCCTAGGTACTTTATATCAAACTGGTACTGTCCATTTATATAAAAATAATCATCAGTACTAAGAATGACTCCACTTGGATTATCTTCTTGCAAAGTCCTATTAATGATAAAGGAAAGTATACTTATTAATGTTCCTTCCAAAATATCTCATAATTTTTACAATTATAATTAAAATAAAAATTGATATTATCATTTAAAGGAGTAAGACTAACAAAATATTCAAATAAATCATACTGAATATTTCCTAAACAAAAGTCTGACTCCAAAAAATAATTTACGTATGGCAAGCTGATTTTTAATGTAAAATATTCCAAAATTTTTAATGTTATAAAACATCTTCACAAGTAACTATTAAAAGGTTTGAGGATTCTGAGTTTCTAATTACCAAGAAACCCCAGGGGCTGGGCATGGTGATACACACCTAAAATCCCAGCTACTCAGGAGGCAGAAATCAAGAGACTGTCTAAGCAACCAGTTAGTGATACCTCATTTCAACCAGCCAACTGGGTATGTGCTTTTAAAACTGTTATCCCAATTGGGGGAGATACAGATTAGGATCTCATGGTCCTGGTACCAGGCAAAAATATAGATCCTATCTTTAAAAAAAAAAAAAAAAGGAAGTCAGGCACATGCCTATAATCCTAGCTACTGAGGAGGCTGAGATCTGAAGATCATGGTTCAAAGCCAGCCTGGGCAGGAAAGTCTATGAAACTCTTATCTGCAATTAACCACCAGAAAACCAGACATGGTGCTGTGGCTCATGTGGTAGAGGACTAGCCTTGAGCTAAAGAGCTGAGGGACAGCACCCAGGCCCAGAGTTCAAGCCCCACGACGGACAAAAAAAAAAAAAATGTGTCAGTAGAGCTGTGGCTCAAGTGGTAGAATGACAGCTTTGAGTAAGGAAGTGTCAATATTTACAATGTTTGAAAAATATTAGCAAAAAAATTATTATTTTCTATATTTACATAAAACTTTGGGTTACTAAACATCTCTTTAAAGAAACTTGCATATTCACATGAGTTATTCAAATTCACACATTATACATTTTAAGAACTGAAAACTTCATACCTTGCCAAAAAAGATTTTCCTGATCCCGGAAGCCCTCTGAGAAGAACAAGAATCAGTCCAACATAAGATGTTGTCTTCTTTCTTACAACCTGAGAAACTGGAGTCTCTTGAACCTGATAAGCACTTGTTCCCTCTGTGTTTCTCCAGACCTTAGTTGGGGAAGCATGAGGAATAACAGAGGGTGGAAACGTGTAGTTGACAGGTCTCCAGTGTGCAGCTGTGGTCACAACAGGAGCTACAAAGCCGTGCTTTCCTTGAAAGAGGTCAAAAGTAGGAATCATTGGATTCCAGATTGGTGGAGGTGGAGGAGGAGGAAGCAGTAAAGGGAGAGGGGTAAGTACTGGACAGTAATTAACATCTTTCCCCTTTGGTGGAAGTTCAGGATGTTTATGAGGCTTGAAACTGAACCCTTCAGAAGGTACAAAAACATCAGAGGCAGAAGTAGATTTCTGATCCCCACTAGTACCTGGTAAATCAAGCCCCAGATTCTGCACAGGAAGGGTTGAAGGAGCCTGAGGCTCATTGGCTTCCATATCCACAGAGGGTTGAGAGAGCTGGTTATCAACACATTCAGCTTCTAAACCCTCTTTCTGTCTTTGATTGAAATTGCTACAGCCCACAGTGAAGTCATTTGCTGGATTTAAAGAGCTACTGAGAAGAGAATCTTCTGGGTAGTTACCTTCCAATGCATATGTTTTATCCCTTATAAAACTGTCAGACTCATTCAAAACTGAATGTGAAGTTAATGAATTTGAACTTAATGTGGAATTATCAAATTTTTCACTGCTTGAATCCTTATTTTGTGTAGATAGAATGGGAGCCGTATTACTTGAATCTGAATTTATAAATTTACTTGGGTCATTCAAACTATGAATATCTTGCAAAGGCAAAAATGAGTATACTTGGTCATCAGAAGAGTTTAATTTCTCAAAAGCATTTTGTATTAAGGAATCCAAGTCTTCAGTTAGCTGCATGTCCAAAAACGAATCCAGTTTTGAATCTTCATTCTCTTCTTCAGGAGAACACTTCTCCATTGTTCCAGTTCCGGCTGCACTTGGCTGGGTCTCAGAAGCAACCAAGCTTTGTGAAGGTGATTCTTCCTTCTTGGTGTCAGTGGCAGATAACTCTAACAGACAATCCATGGCATTTTCAACTGCACAACAAGAATAATAACAACAACAAAAAAATGCATAACATAGTGAGAAAAGCCAGACACAACTTTGTTAAAATCCAGGAAAAAACACTGAACTTTGCATTAAACAGAATACAAAGAAACTAATAAATATTCATGTTGTCTCCCAAAAATAAATACTTTGCTAATATACCAAAATTTCAATGATAGTGACATGCAGTCTTGTTTCAGACAAACAACAACACAGCATCATCAAGTGGATATTCGTTGACCAATTTACTGGATAAATGTATACATATCTGTAATTGTATGTATGAGTTATATAGATGGATATAAAGGTCCAAAATAGAGCCAGTTGATTTAATCAACAATGACTTACCTAATTCATGTCCTCTTAAGGATTACATATTTTAAGTGTGAATTATAAAGTATAATACATATATTTTTCATGCTATGAATTTCACTTCATGCAAAAATATTTATGACCATATATACTACATGTCAGATAAACTTGGTACAAAATGTGTAAGACAGCCTTTAATATGCTCAAAGACTTTTGTATTTTTTTTTGGGGGGGGGGATTGGTCATGGGGCTTGAACTCTGTGTCTGGGCGCTGTCCCTCAGCTCTTCAGCTCAAGGCAAGCACTCCACCACTTGAGCCACAGCACCACTTCTGGCTTTTGTATTTTAATGGAGTTTAAAAACAGGAGAAGATAATTATATCATGATATAAAGTGTACTTTTGATAATGTCCTAATATCTATAGTAGTGGACAGGAGAGTAAGGAAATATCACACATAGAGTGATATGTGAACTTGCTCTTGAAGATTAAAAACCAGGCAGGAGAAAAGGAAAAACCAAGTTTGAAAACACAAAACCTGTTTACAGTGTTAAGCGCAGGTGTCAGAGAGTAGGCTTACAGTGCTATGCATGGTGAGCAAGAGAAGATGATAAACCTGACAGGGAGGCTGGGTGAAATGGAGAAGGGTCCCATGGGTCATACTAAGAAATAATAATTTTATTTTCTAAGGGAACTTGAAGAAAAACTCTCACCAGTCACAGCATACAGGCTAGAAGCTTTATACAAAAATGAGGGAAACATCATCCTATTAAATTCGATGAAGAACATGAAGCTCAAAATGCACAGTAACTTTACCCAAGTCATACAGATACTAAGTGACGCAGCCACGGCTAGTGATCCGATTCCAGTGCTGAGCTCTTCCAGTTATCATGAAAATAGGAAGGTATTGGAATTTTTACACATTTAGAGCTAAGGACATAGCTAATGGTAAGAACACCTGTTTTTGCATGGGTGAGCCCCTGGGTTTGATCCCCAGCACAGCATGGTAAGGGGGGAAAAAGTAAGCATTTGAAATGTTTGCAGTTTGTTTTAAGAGACCTAAATCTGGAAACAGCACAGCACAGGAAGTAACAGCTCTGGTGTGGAGTCAGAACACCAACATTTAAGTCCCTGGCTGGCTATGACACTTCAAACAAGTTAGTTACCAGCCCTAAGCCTAGGTTTTTCTCACTTATAACATGGGGATAATAAAAGTACCTACCTCATAGGTTGTTGTGGGGATTAAATGAGATAATCCATGAAAAAATGCTGTGCACAAGGACTGGCACCTAGTAAGCACCCAATTAATGTTCCCTTAAGAAGAAAAACAAAGAGGGATTGGAGGGGCAAGCCTGGCAGAGAGACCAGAGATCTTAGCAATACTACAAAGGCAAGAAGCCCTAAAAACAGACAAAAAGGAGAGGGGAAAGAAAACACAAATACGAGGAATTTCTATGAAAATAAAAATTGATATAATAAAAAATTAAAAAGAGAAACTAAAAAATAAACACATATATAATGAAAAACAGTATAAACAGAACTAAAAAAAAATCAAAATAAACAAACAGGTTATCATACAAAAAAAAAGGTCCTTAAACAGACTGGTGGAAAAAAATTACAACTATGACATGAAAACAAAAACAAAAACAAGAAAATAGAACACTTCACAAAAGAATAGAAACAATAGAAACTAATTTACAAGAATATTCAATAGTCTTCTTTTTTAAAAAATACAAATTAAGAAAAAGTACAATTTTTATTTTAATCTTAATTCTATATAATGCTGAAAAGGCTGTGATGAGTTAGACAATGCTGGTGGTACTACAAATTAGCACATCTCATTGGTACATAATTAGTAGTATATTTCCTAGAGTTGAGAACTAACCTTACCCTGTGAATGCAGAAAATAAAACTCTAAGACTAAGAATTTAAAGAGTCTAAAAAGTATTGCTCATGCCTGTCATCTTAAGCTACTCAGAGGCTGAAATCTGAGAATCACAGTTCAAAGCCAGTCTGGGCAGCAAAGTCTGACACTTTTTATCTTCAATTAACCAGTAAGAAATTAGAAATGAGGTTGTGGCTCAAGCGGTACAGTACCAATCTTGAGTGAAAAAGCTAAGGGACAGCACCCCTCCTGTTCAAGTACAAGTACTAACGTGTGTGTGTGTGTGTGTGTGTATGCACGCACACATGCATGCACACACACGAAGAAAGAGAGAGGAGGGAAGAAGAGGAGGGAGAGGAGAGGAAGGAGGAAGACAGAAAAAAGAGACAGAATGTAAGAAAGAGAAGGCTAATTTTAACAAATGTTCTTTGTGGTATTTTCATTAAAAAATTAAGATATAAATAAGTAAATTAGGATGCAACAACTCAATGGAATTAAATAACTACTAAAAATAAATATAGATTGCAGCAACACTAAACAATGTTTAATCATATTAAGTTAAAAAAGTAAACTGAGTATGTATTACCTGAACTGTGAAATGGTAACCTTCTGTACAACACCTTAACAACAATAAAATTATATTTTTTAAAAAGTAAATTTAAGTTATTTTAAGTTTAAAAAGTAAAATGTAAAATGTCATTCATAATACCAAGTGTTTATAAAGGAAGTCTATAGAAGATCTTAGAAAAGAGAAATAAGTTCTTTGTTAAGATAATACAGTTTTCTTCTCATTCCCTACAATTATGTTAATATATGTACAATAAATAAACTTTAAAGACATCAAAGTTAGAAAATATAGAAGTCATTTACAAAAATCTACATACTATGATTTCTATGATTTCTGAAGACCAAGTGCACTACTAAAATCTGGTTTTCTGCATGCACATCCTAACAGAATAATTTAAATATACTCACACCATACAGTTACACAGTAACCATGTATTACCAAACACTTCAAGTCTAGAAGGATTATATCTTATACTAATCATAGTCATTAATAATACTGAGTATCAATATTTAATTTGCTTACCCAACTCATGTAATGACTTCCTTCAGTTGGCAAATATACTCCTAAAATTTATTGTAAGTTACTAATCGCATATCCTTCTAAATACAAAAACAAAAACAAAAAACTTCAGTCCTCATTGAAAAAGTCCTTGCCGGTAAGAAACATGCTACCATTAGAAAACAGACTCAAAAAAGATAGTGGGGGGCTGGAAATGTGGCTTAGTGGTAGAGTGCCTGCCTAGCATGCATGAAGCCCTTGGGTTCAATTCCTCAGTATCTCTTTTTTTTTGCGGGGGGGGGGGGGGGGGGGGGCGGTCGTGGGGCCTGAACTCTGGGCCTGGGCACTGTCCCAAGGCTAGCACTCTACCACTTGAGCCACAGCACCACTTCCGGCTTTTTTCTTTTTGCTTATGTTGTGCTGAGGAATCGAACACAGGACCTCGAGCATGCAAGACCAGCACTCTACCACTGAGCCACCTTCCCAGCTCTCTCAGTATCTCTTTAAACAGAAGAATCCAGAATGGCACTGTGGCTCAAGTGGTATAGTACTAACCTTGTGCAAAAAAAAAAATCTTAGGAACAGTACCCAGACCCTGAGTTCAAGCCCCAGGATAAAAAAAAAAAAAAAAAAAAGTATAGTGGCAGAAATAAAGATACAACTCAGGTTCTATCACCAGCTCCAATATAGCTCCAACTCCAATGTTTTGAAACCAAACCAATCACTAAGCTCCTGGTTTTTTGTCTTATTTGTTTCTTTGTGTTTGTTTCAGACTCTCTCACTATGTAATCCACAAGGTGTAAACTCTATCTTCCTGCCTCAGCCTCTGAGTGCTAAGATTAGCAACACCACTCTCAGCCTATGTTTGATTTCCATAATTCATTATAAATATATTTCAACTCCTACTATAAGTTGTTATTTTAGAAATTATGAATACAGCAGTAAAACAAAGTAAGCCTTTAATGACTGTCTCCATAGAGCTTACATTCTAAAACACTGGTTCTCAATCAGGTAAGATTTTTTGTTGTAAGAGCTAAATAACAATATATGGAAATATTTTGGTTCATGACAGGGATGCTACCTACTTAAAGATCCTATAATGCACAGTAGAGCCATTCACAGCAAAGAATTATCGGGCCCAAAATCCCAATAGTGCCAAGCTGTTTTACAGGGGGAAAAAAAGAAACAAAAAAAATATAGAGAATATAGTGTCTTTAGATGCATCTTATATCTCAATGCTGTACTTTTTTTTGTATGCCAGTCCTGGGGCTTGAACTCAGGGCATAGGCACTGTCCGTGAGCTTTTGTGCTCAAGACTACTGCTCTACCACTTGAGCCACAACTCCACTTCTGGTTTTTTTGATGGCTAATTGGAGATGAGAATTTCACAGACTTTCCTTCCCAGGCTGGCTTCAAACTGTAGTCCTTAGATCTTAGCCGGAGTAGCAAGGATTACAGGCATTAGCCACCAGGGCCCAGCTGTTGTACATTTAAGAGTAGAAATGATGCTTTACTCTTCTTCAAATCTCTCATAATACCAAATATAGTAACTTGTTTATGGCAGGTACTAAATTAAATGATGAACAAAAGGGAAATCAAGAAAGTCATATTCCTCTATTACCATTGATAATAGCACAAAATATGAAGTCTTCTTATAAGATGCAAAGGGTTCAAACTAAACTTTTTCTCACCTTTGAAATCACATTCAGAAAGCATCAAATATACTACATCAGGGTCCAATTCAGAAAACATCTCTGAGATACTGGTGAAGAGTTCTTCCTGAGCACTTTTTGTCTCACACATGGAAGGAAGAGTAGTGGTTGGCTTCTCATGACTAGCAACACTGGATACAACTTCCTTAGAGCTTGCAGTCTTCCGCAAAGGATGGCCCCCAAGATTTTTCCTTTTCCTTGGCATTCTGACTTCCAAAACTAAAATGTTTCCCTTTTTTTAAAAAAAATTTAAGACTTTTTTTGTATTGAAATCATAATTCAAAGAAAATAGGATTAAAAATCTTGCACAATCCAGCAGTAATAGCACCTAAAATAGAAAGCAAGTAAAAACACTCAGACTACATAATTACGTTTCCATTTCTAAAACTGGGAGGGCACCTTTATTTAACTGTAAGAAATTATCATAGATTTTATGACAGCAAAGACAAAAAATAGCCAATTTTTCTCTCTCCAAAACATTCCAGTTTTGCCAGGATTAAACATGCTATTATTTTAAAAAAATAAGATAATAACATAGCAAAACATAATTCAGAACAGTGAATACACTGTTTCAATGTCATTATTTCACTTTTGAAAAATATAAAATGACACATACAAATGTACACTAGAATGCCTATTGAACACCTACATTCAGATTTCTAACAAGCATTATAAAGTTAACATGTCCAAAACTGACCTCCTGATAACCCCTTCTTGCCAGTAAATGTAACTCTTTCCTTCTATTTGCTCAGGTCAAAAATCATGGAATAAGCCAGGCACCAGAGCTCACACCTATAATCCTAGCTACTCAGGAGGCTGAGATCTGAGCATCACAGTTCAAAGCCAGCCTAGGCAGGAAATGGCAAGAATATCTATGAGACACCTATCTCCAATAAAGCACTCAGAAAATTAGAAGTGGCGCTGTGGCTCAAGTGGTAGAGCACTTGCCTTAAGCTGAAGAGCTCAGGGACAGTGTCCAGGCCCAGAGTTCAAGCCCCACCACTGACCAAAAAAAAAAAAAAAAAAAATCATGGAATAATCCTGGACTCCTCTAAGCCAACTTCTAAATCAATTTTGTCAGTGTAATCCCCAAAATGTATTCAGAATGTGATTATTCCTTACCACCCTAGATTACCCTAGATTTAGCTACTACAGCCTCTGGTTGGTTTATTTAGCAAAGTAGGCAAAGTGACTCAACTAATCTATAGTTGGATAATGCCTCTTCTCTACTAAACTATCCACTAACTTCTCAGCTCACACAGGATCAAAGCAGAAGACCTGAAAATTACCTATAATCCAGACTCTTGTTACCTCTGTATTACTATCCCCTAATCTTCTTCCTTTTCATGCCATTCCAAGTACATTTAGCCTCCTTTGTCTTCTCCAAACATACCAGCTAGTTCTCACCTGGGAACCTTTACATGGCTGGTTTTCTCTGACTGAATTTCTTCACCAGATATTTACAGATTCTTTCTTATTAGTATTCAAATATTACCCATATCAGGAATTTGGTCCAATAAAACCTCTCATTCTTCTTACCCTACTGGAATTTTCTCCATCAGACTTATTTTCTAACGTGGTTTATGTTTTCTTTTTTTCTTTTTTCTTTGCCAGTCCTGGGTATGAACTCAGGGCCTAGGCAAAATCCCTGAATTTTTCTGCTCAAGGCTAGCACTCCACCACTTGAGCCATAGCTCCACTTCCAGCTTTTTGGTGCTTCATTGGAATTAAGTCTCACAAACTTTCTGGCAGAGGCTAGCTTCAAACCTTGATCCTCAGATCCCAGCTTCCTAAGTAGCTAGAGCTATAGGTGTGAGCCACATAAACACGTTTTTTTTTTTAGCTAAGTCTAGAGAATCACTTGTTTTTGTTTGTTGTTGTTGTTGTTGTTTTCAGTTGTGGGGCTTGAACTCTGGGCCTAGGCTATGTCTCTCAGCTCTGCAGCTCAAGGGTAGGGCTCTACCACTTTGAGCCACAGCACCACTTCTGGTTTTCTGGTGGTTAATTAGAGATAAAGAGTCTCACTGGCTTTGCTGCCCGAGCTGGCTTTGAACCTCAATCCTCTAATCTCAGCCTCCTGAGTAGCTAGGATTACAGCCACTGGCATCTGGTAAGACCTATGTTTAATTTCATTATATTTACTATGCATAATCCAGTAAATGTGTAAGCTCCACAAAGGCTGAGACTCATTCAGTCTGCTTGGTTCTCTTTGTTTGGATGAGTCTAATAAACATTTCAAAATTTAAATGTCTGATATTTTTGCCAAAATCTGTTCTAACCATTTGGCATGACTACCATCAAGTGGTATTTTCCTAGCTAGTCTTTCTGTCCCCTTCAGTCTATTTTCAGCATGATCGTCAGACTGAATCAGCGTCTCTACCAAACTCTCAAGTGATTTTCTAGACTTAGCTAAAGTTCTTTAAATGCCCTATTTCCCTGCTAGCACTCTTCTCCTGAAATATTTACATTGCTAACTCACTCTTTCAAATTTCTGGTCGTGACACATGCAATGGATTCTTCCCTGACTATCCAATTAAAAGTCAAATACGCTACTACCTATTCAGTCCCCATTTCTTGCTAGCTAGTCATTACCCATATTGCCTTCTATATTTACCTTTTAGTTAAATTTGTATCAATTTGTGTCATAGCTCTCTCCACCTTCCAGAACTGCACTGATAATTTGGTAGCCACCAGACACAAGTGCCTATTTAAATTTAAATTAATTAAAATTAAATAAAATTACATTTTTATACATCAATTCATATATAAATACAGAATTCAGAGCAAGAAAATATTGGAGATAAAAAGGGTATTACATAATAATAAAGGATCAATCTACTAAGAACATATACCAAGCCTAATGTCTATGTGCCAAACGAAAAGAGCTATAAAACAGGTGGCTAAAAAAAAACAGGGGGGGGGCTGGGAAGTGGCTCAGTGGTAGAGTGCTTGCCTTGCATGCCTGAGGCCCTGGGTTCGATTCCTCAGCACCACATAAGCAAAAAGGAAAAAGCCGGAAGTAGCGCTGTGGCTCAAGTGGTAGAGTGCTAGCCTTGAGCTGAAGAGCTGAGGGACAGCGGCCAGGCCCAGAGTTCAGGCCCCACGACCGGACCCCAAAAAAAAAAAAAAAAAAAAAAACAGAGGGGCTGAGAAGGTGGCTCAGTGGTAGAGCGCTTGCCTTTATGCATGAGGCCCTGGGTTCCATTCCTCAGCACCACAAAGCAAAAAAAAAAAAAAAAGCCGGAAGTGGCGCTGTGGCTCAAGTGGTAGAGCGCTGGCCTTGAGCTGAAGAGCTGAGGGACAGCACCCAGACCCAGAGTTCAGGTCCAACGACCGGACTCCCACCCCCCCCCCAAAAAAAAAAACAGAGTTGGCTGGGAATGTGGCTTAGTGGTACAGTGCTTGGCTAGCATGCATGAACCCCTGGGTTCAATGCCTCACTACCACATAAACAAAGCCGGAAGTGGCTCTGTGGGCACCAAAAGCAAAAACTGATAGGTATGAAAGGAAAAGTAGAAAAATCCACTATAGCTATAAGTACCACTATCCCTCTATCAATAATTTAAACAAAAATTAACAGAAAATCCCAAGGATACAGAACTTAACAACACCAACAATTAAGGATCTAATTAACACATATGGAACATTGCACTCAGCAGCAACAAAATACACATTATTTTCGATTGCCCACAGAACAACTACCAAGATAAACCAAAATCAGAGCCAATACCATTAGCTCGTGCCTATTATCCTAGCTAATCAGGAGGCTGAGATCTGAGGATCTTGGCACTGTGGCTCAAAGTGGTAGAGCAGTAATGAGGATCAAGGTTTAGAGCAGACTGAGCTGACAAACTCACTATATCACCATACTGCTATCTCCAATTAATCAACAAAAAGCCAGAAATTGAGGCTGGACTCAAGTGGGAGAGCACCAATGGTGAACATAAAAGTGACCAAGAGCAGGGGGCCCTGAGTTCCAGCTCCAGTATGGACACAATAAGAAAGAAATCTCAAGAAAAATTTAAGAATATGCTGAATGATATAAAAATCATATCAAAACCTGCAGAATAAGAAATGGAGGTATGACTCATATGGTATACTGAAAGTCATCAAAATGGGGCACTAGTGGCTCATGCCTGAAAACCTAGCTACTCAGGAGGCTGAGATCTGAGAATTGCAGTTCAAACCCAGCCCAGGCAGGAAAGTCCATGAGACTCTTATCTCCAATTAACCACCAGAAAACTGGAAGTGGAGCAGTGGCTCAATTAGTAGAGTGCTAGTCTTGGACTGAAGAGCTCTGGGACAGCGCCCAGGCTTAGAGTTCAAGCCCCAGACCAACAACAAAAAACAAAAAAAGAAAGTAAGTCATCAACAGGGGCTGGGAAGGTGGCTCAGTGGTAGAGCTCTTGCCTTGCATGCATGAGGCCCTGGGTTTGATTCCTCAGCACCACATAAGCAAAAAGAAAAAAAGCCGGGAAGTGGTGCTGTGGCTCAAGTGGTAGAACGCTAGCCTTGAGCTGAAGGACAGCGCCCAGGCCCAGAGTTCAGGCCCCACAACTGGACCCAAAAAAAATTTAAAAAAAAAAGAAAGTCATCAACAAAAAGCCAAATGAGACCAGGAGGTCCTGAGTTCCAGCCACAAGAGTAGCATAAAAACAAATTAAAGGGGGGGGGAAGGAGAAGGATTGGGATTGGGGGGGAGGGAGGATGCTGGGAAGGTATGTGAAGGGTAAACAAAGGAGGAGGCTGCAATGCTTGGTAAGAAATGTATGCATTATCCTGCCCATGTAATTGTAACTCCTCTGTACAGTATGTTCACAAATAAAATTAAATTAAATTAAAAAAAAAACAAATTAAAGATGAAAAGTCAAAACAAATTACAGCCAAGCACCAGTGACTCAATGCTGTATCCTAGCTATGCAGAAGCTGAGTTCTGAGTGAGGATCACCATTCAAAGACAGCCTGGGCAGGAAAGTCATATCTCCCATTCAGAAGTAGAGCTACAGCTCTAGTGGCAGGGTGCCAAACCTCAAACTTATAAAAAAACAAAAGGAGGGCTGGGAAGGTGGCTCCGTGGTAGAGCGCTTGCCTTGCATGCTCAAGGCCCTGCGTTCCATTCCTCAGCACCACATAAGCAAAAAGAAAAAAGCCAGAAGTGGCGCTATGGCTCAAGTGGTAGAGCGCTAGCCTTGAGCTGAAGAGCTGAGGGACAGCGCACAGGCCCAGAGTTCAGGCCCCACAACCGGACCCAAAAAGAAACCACAGATCTTGGGACAGAAAATATGGCTTAGTGGTATAGTGTTGCCTAACATGCATGAGGCCCTGGGT